AACAGGAGGTAAGAAGCTAAACAAACTAATTCAAATAAAGCAAGTGAAACAAAAGATAACAAAACAGGAGATAAATAAAACGATACAAGTACAATTAAAACAAGCAAACTAAATAAACCCTTAATAAAAAGATAAGAAAAAAAATAACAACAATAATTTAAAAATTTAAAAAAATACAAAAAAATTAATTTTAAAAAAAAATTTAAAAAAATTATTTAAAAAAAATTCACATCAAGTGAGCAAATAGGCAGAGGAGGAGAAGTCAAGAAGATCAAAATAAAGTATCCACACCAACCTCACAACCCAACCCCCGCTGACAAAGAACTAAAAGACATAATTATAAAGAGGGGATAATAACCCACCAAGAAAAATCAGAGAAAGAAAAAGAGCGAGGAAAAAAAAAAGTTCCTACAAAGAAACAAACGCAACTGTGAAAATGGCAACGCAAAGCTCAAAGGGGAAAAACACACCGCTGGCAAAAACACAAAACCAAGCCAAGAAAGACTCGCTGACAGATGAAACAGCACTCAACCAGATACTGGCGGAAATCATAAAGATATCAACAAAGCAAGATACACAGCACAAAGAGTTACAAGCGGAGATTAAAAGTATGAAATCAGAACTCAAAAAAGACATAAACAAACTACAGGAAGACCTCGACAAAAGGAAAAAGGAAAATCAAAAAATATCCAATGCGCAAGGGAAAATGGAAAATAAAATAAGCAAACTGGAAAATATAAACCAAAAACTCCAGCAACAAACTGAACTGATAGAAAATAGAGAACTGGAATACCAGTTAAGAATCCAGAATCTAGAAGAATCAAAGAACGAAAATGTGAAACAGATAATGATTGAGCTGTTAGCAGACTTAATGGAAGTTAGCACCGAAATCATAGGCAATGATGTTGATCGGGTATACAGAGTTCCCACAGGATACGCTAAGAAACACAAGACCTCAAGAGACATAGTAATAAGTTTTTGCCGGAAGAGTACCAGAGATGCAATACTTAGGGAAAACGCAAAAAAATCGGTGTTCTACAAGGAAAAAAAAATAATAATCATGAAAGAGGTTACCCAGTCAACACTAGTAAAACGAAGAAAGTACGCCTTCTTAACCGAGGAGCTAATCCGGAAAAAAATAAAATTTAAATGGGAAAAAGTCAAAGGGATCACAGTGACACTAAACGATACTAAATACTGGTTAAATACAGAATAAGAGGCAAGAACCTTCTATACAGAGCATATTAAAACTAAGACACAAGGAAATCCACAAAGAAACCCCCATAACAGTTTAACAGGAAAGGAGCTAAAGAGACAAGAAAGATCGGAAGAAGGCCAAGAGAGTAGGAAAGATCTACCAGATGAAGAAGAGGATGAAGGTGGAAAAAGGTGGAAAAAGGTTTTCTCGGCAAAACATATTCAGAGGAAATTTGCCTATGCCATCCTCTGAAGCTGAGAGGGTGTGACTTGACAAAGTCCACTCAGTGGCTTTCCATGGCCAACTTTACCATAGGTACAAATCAGGCATGTAGCCGAGAGGGGGGGGGATTGAGGGGCTTCAGCCCTTCCCAAAAAAATTCTCAGGGTGGTCCACAAGAAGGGCTTACGGGTACATTATTTAAACTGTTGTGTTTATTCATATCATGATCTGATCACCATGCTCAATATATCCCATATGCATGGGGCTATTGGGATAATGATACAAAAGGTTTGCTAGGGTAGATCCTCAGCCCCCCCCCCTTTGAATCAAACCCCCCCCCCCCGAATCAAACTCAGCACCCCCCGAATCAAAATCCTGGCTACGGGCCTGGTACAAATGAAACCTGAGAAACTCCATTAGGTAACACCAAACGCCTCTTCGCTTTCCTAAATTTCTCAGGTCATTGTGACATTATAAAAACAATTACTCTCTATGACAGGGCAGGTTAATCATGTCCACGCCTTCTCCTATATTAGGCAAAGCCGAGGACACACCCCACTAATTCATGGCTGCTTTCATCAATGTCACTATTTAAAAGTATGCTATTCTGATCTACAGCATTCTCTTCCCATCTGTCCAAAGTGAACACTACAGCCCCATCTAGACTGCCATACAATACAGTTTCTGAACCCGGATTGTCTGCTTTGAACTGGATTATACGGCAGTGTAGACTCATAGCAAATAATGTGGATTTAGAGACTGGATTATATAGCAGTGTAGATGCAGCCTTAGTCTTGCTGTTTTGCTTCTCCTCCAGTAACAACAAAACATGCCAAATCACGTCTTTTGTTGGAGTCCAGCAACATAAGCAGAAGTAGTTCTCTTCCTTTTTATTAATTTGTCCCTTTTGAGGTGTGTGCATCCCAATTACATTGAAATTCAGGTTGAGTATTGATTACCCGGAAAGCTGAAATGCTCCAAAATCCAAAACTGTCCAAAGGGATGGCTTGCCTTTGCTTACTCAAAAGGAACAGCTCAGAAGGTGACCGCTGGTGCATCACCAATTTGAAAAATAATAAAAGAAGCATTGAATTGTTCCTCTGCATAGAGCAACACAGTCCACACTGCTTCAAGGAATTCCATGGATCCTTTATCAAAAAATACGGAAATCTCCAAAATCCCAAATTGTCCTCATAGCTGGCTAAGATGGTGACACCTTCAGTCTTTTAACGGTTTAACAGTAATAAGCTTTGTTTCATGCACAACATGATTGTGTATTAAATTACCTTCAGGCTGTGTGCACAAGGTGGATATGAAATATAAATGAATGTCACGCTTTGAGTTGGATCCAGTTTCCAAAATATCTTATGATGTTACATACATGCAAGTACATTTGCATTTAGACTTAGGCCCCATCTCTAAAATCATGCTATAAGAGTTGGAAGAGACCCCAAAAGGGCATCCAATCCAATCTCATTCCGCCACACAGGAAAATGCAGCCAAAGCATTTTCCTCCAGCCTCTGTTTGAAAACTTCCATAGGAAATTTCACCACAATCTAATAATGAGCTCTCATTACCATAGATCAGTGTTTCCCAACCGTTGGTCCTCCAGGTGTTTGGGGCTTCAACTTCCAGAAATCCCAGTCAGTTTACCAGCTGTTAGGAATAGTGGGAATTGCAGTCCAAAACACCTGGATGACCAAAAGCTGGGAAACACTGCCATAGACTTAGGACCTTTCCACAAAACCCTATAACCCAGGATATCAAGGCACGAAATCCCACAATATTTGCTTTAAATTGGGATATCTGAGTCTATACTGCCATATATTCCAGTTCAACACAGATATTGTGGGATTTCCTGACTTGATATCCTCGGTTATACGGCTGTGCAGAAGAGCCCACCGTTAAATGACTCCTGTGCGGATTGGTAGGCGCCTGATAAATATAGTTTCTGGTTGCTTGAGAGTTACTAATAAAAAGAGGTCTGTATAATACTATACCGAAGAAGAAGAAGAAGAGGAAGAGGAAGAGGAAGAGGAAGAGGAGGAGGAAGAGGAAGAGGAAGAGGAGGAAGAAGAGGAAGAAGTACTACTACTACTACTACTACTACTACTACTTTATTTTTCTACCCTGCCTCCATCTCTCTGAAGGGACTCGGGGCAAGCCCAGGCAAAATACAATTGAAAGCCAAACAATAACAAATTAAAATAACATAAAACAGCATAACAATAATAAACAAACATCAAGCAACAACAAACTAATTTTGGAGGGGGAAAGGGGGCCTCAATGCAAACTGGTTAAAGGATAGGGGTTCAATAAGTTGGATAGAAACGTAAAATAGCATAGGAAATAGAATGGAAAAAGAGCAATTAAACAGGATCAGTTCAACTTAAAACTTATATAGATAGATAGATGGATAGATAGATAGATAGATAGATAGATAGATAGATAGATAGATAGATAGATAGATAGATAGATAGATAGATAGATAGATATAGGTAGAGTAAATGTTTTCCCCTGACATTAAATCCAGTTGTGTCCGGGGGTTGGTGCTCATCTCAATTTCTAAGCCGAAGAGCCAGCGTTGTATACAGACACCTCCAAGGTCATGTGGCAGGCATGACTGCATGGAGTGCTATTACCTTCCCGCTGGAGCGGTACCTATTGATCTACTCACATTTGCATGTTTTCGAACTGCTAGGTTGGCAGAAGCTGGGGTTGACAGTGGAAGCTCACGCCACTCCCCGGATTTGAACCTGCGACCTTTCGGTCAACAAGCTCAGCGCTTTAACCCACTGCACCACTGGAGGCTCCGAAAATATATATAGTGTCGAAGGCTTTCATGGCTGGAATCACTCAGTTCTTGTGGGTTTTTTCGGGCTATATGGCCATATTCTAGAGGCATTTCTCCTGACGTTTCACCTGCATCTATGGCAAGCATCCTCAGAGGTGAGGGCTCACCTCTGAGGATGCTTGCCATAGATGCAGAAACGTCAGGAGAAATGCCTCTAGAATATGGCCATATACCCCGAAAAACCCACAAGAACTGAATATATATAGTGATGTAATATATAAGCTCTGTATTGCCTTGATATTAATACTGAAATGCAGTAATTAGAAGCAAATGAGTGTAAACTTAACTTTGTGTAGAATTTTGGTTTAATATTAAATATTATTTATTCGAAATGTTTGCCGGTTGCTTGAGAGTTCTGGGTAACTGAGAGTGTAATGGATGCATATTATGCATATGCAAATATTCCAAAAATAAAAACCCAAATCCAGAAAAAGTGTATTGGTACCTCAACAAACTACAACTCCCATAGCACTGAGGTCATAACAGTTACAAGTGGTGTGACTATTCTGCATTGTAGACCAGGCCTGGGCCAACTTGGGCCCTCCTGGTGTTTTGGACTCCAACTCCCACCATTCCTAACAGCCTCAGGCCCCTTCCTTTTCCCCCTCAGCCGCTTAAGCGAGGGGAAAAGGAAGGGGCCTGAGGCTGTTAGGAATGGTGGGAGTTGGAGTCCAAAACACCAGGAGGGCCCAAGTTGGCCCAGGCCTGCTGTAGATGCATCTTACCTGGTTCCCTTTGGACTGGCGCCTGTTTTTGGAGCCCAGTTGCAACAAGTAGCCCAAACTCAGGGCGAAGGCCGAAGCGGCCAGGAGAAAAGAGATGGGCCCTCCGAAGGCCACCTTCTCCAGGAGGGAGCCGCCCATCTCCAGCAAGGTGAGGACCACCATCGTCTCCGCAGCAAGCCAAGGATGCGCCGCTCAGTCACACCAACCTCCCTCCAAGAAGACAACAGTGAAGGCGATGCGCCTCAACCAATGAGAGAAGGCGGTGCGCCTCAGCCAATCAGCAGCACCGCCGCCGGCGCTGGGCCGATCTCTGCCCATCTGACGAACGTGGCGCGGCGGCCAATCAGCGCCCGCGCGCGAGGCCGGTCTTGACCACGAGAGGCGAGGAGGGCTCAGTCAGCGAAGCAGCGTCGTGAGGGAAAGAGGGTGTGCTGTCGGTGGCCATTCCCTCACTAGATGGCCTTGAATCGATTTGGCAACCTATAACTCCTTTCAAACGTTATTCTTGGGGATTTTCTCTCTCACACACAATCAAAGCGCACCTGTTTCCTTCATAGTATAGAATAGATTGAGGGCCCTTCCACACAGCTAAATAAAATCCCACATTGTCTGCTTTGAACTGGAATATATTGCAATGTGGACTCAGGCCCTTCCACACAGCCATATAACCCAGAATATCAAGGCAGAAAATCCCAGAATATCCGCTTCGAATTGGGATATATGGCGATCCACAATATCTGCTCTGAACAGGAATATGTGGCAATGTGGACTCAGGGCCTTTCCATACAGACACATAACCCAGAATAGCAAGCCAGAAAATTCCGCAATATCTGCTCTGAACTGGAATATATGGCAATGTGGACTCAAGACCCTTCCACACAGACATATAATTCAGAATATCAAGGCTGAAAATCCCACAATATCTACTTCGAATTGGGATATATGGCGATGTGGACACAGGCCCTTCCACACAGACATATAACACAAAATATCAAGGCAGAAAATCCCACAATATCCACTTCGAATTGGGATATATGGCGATGTGGACCCAGGCCCTTCCACAGAGCCATATAACTCAAAATACCAAGGCAGAAAATCCCACAATAGCCGCTTCGAATTGGGATATATTTTGCGATGTGGACCCAGGCCCTTCCACACAGCCATATAACTCAAAATACCAAGGCAGAAAATCCCACAATATCCGCTTCGAATTGGGATATATGGCGATGTGGACCCAGGCCCTTCCACACAGCCATATTACCCAAAATATCAAGGCAGGAAATCCCACAATATTTGCTTCGAACTGGAATATATGGCAATGTGAACTCGGGGCCCTTCCACACATCCATATAACCCAGAGTTAGCATCATGGCAGAAAATCCCACAATTTCTGCTGTGAACTGCCATATAACAATTCAAAACATAAAAATGTGGGGTTTTATTCAACCCTTCCAAGGAGCCCCAGATAACCCAGTTCAAAGCAGATATTGTGGGATTTTCTGCGTTGATATTCTGGGTTATATGACTGTGTGGAAGGGCCCTGATTGTCCCATAGCTGAGGCAAAATATGTTCTCTTAGGACACTTTTGAAGACTTCAGTGCAGTCTGAGGTGTTCTTGGGCCAGAAAATCTCCATTTCAATAGGGTTTGCTGTTGCTCGTGTTTCTCATATCCGCACAATGGCTGGAACTGCAATACATGGTCATTGTAGGCCAGGCATAGGCAAACTTCGGTCCTCCGGGTGTTTTGCACTTCAACTCCCACCATTCCTAACAGCTGGTAGGAATGCTATGTCATCTGCATATAGGAGTGTCCAGGGATGCATAGTCTGTAAATGTGCTGTAGCAGTGTCCATGCAGAGTATGAATAGTAATGCTAAATTTTAGTATGAATAGTAATGCTAAAAGTGCTGGTCCCTGATGCACGCCAACAGTGATATTGAAGGGTGGTAAAAATCCTTGCAGGGCAGCAGACCATATTTGTTGTATTATTGTATAGTAGCTTAATCCATGTTACACAGTCTTCTGGTATTCTATGTGACCATAGTGCTTGCCTGATCAGGTCATGGGAAACCTGATAAAACCCATTTTCACCAATCTGTTAGCAAAAACCTGTAGTGTTTCCAGTGGGCTGCAGAAAATGCTTTACCTGTACTTCATAATAAGGAACATCAACCTGTTTAGCAAGCCTTGGAAAAGCTGATTTGTTATCAGTAATGCTTGATTTTTATACCTTTTTTTATATACCTGGGGCCACATAAAATTTTCTCAAGTCAAAAGTGTCACAAGTGGGGAAAGTTTTAAAAACCCCTGCTCCAGATTATATTTTAGAGGAAGGAACTGGCAAAAACATCTCCTTGCCTAAGAAACTACAATGAAATTCATGGGATTGTGACTTGAAAGCACATATGAACACACCACTTTTAGAAATGATCTAGTGTGTCATTTCGCAAGAGGCCTCATATCCACTGAAAGATTTCATTTCCAATCAATTTTAAGATAATTGAAAGCAAAGTATTTTACTTGACTAACTGTCCAAAGGGACATAGTCCAGTCTCCACCCTCATTATCTTGAGGGGATCATGTTTGATTATATAAATGGACAATTAGGAGAGCCAATATGATGTAGTAATTAAATCATTGAGCTACGAATCTGGAGACCACAATCTGCTCAATCATGAAACCCATGGTGACATTGGGGCAAGTTGCAATCTCAGCTTAAGAGGAGTGGAATAGCAACACTCTTCTGAACAAATCTTGCCAAGAAAAGCCTCTCTTAAGATGGCCATAGGTTAGAAGTGACTTAGAGGCACACAGCAACAATGATTTCTGTTTCCCTAGGTCACATTATTCAGGTTTGTTTAAATTTGCTGGAAATTGTCAGAGAAACAGTGTTAAGGAGACCAACATATTTTGAACAGTGAGTTGCTGACCTGGCCTTTCACTAGAATGAATTGTTTTGATGCAGTCCAGGGTCCTTTGTGTCTAGGTAACAAAGAGAGTGGACCAGACAACGCATTAAAAATAATTTCAGAAACTGTTAGAGATTGTGCTGTTGTCACTAAGATATACAGCCCTAAGATATATGCAGAATATATTCCATCCACACCTGCCAGGTTGCTCTATCTATATAAATAATGAGATAATATGCATGAAGAAGGGATTGGATTTTTATTGTGCATAAATATAATATAAAGAAAGAGAAAACAAAACAAATACTATGTGTGGCTTAAAAGTGGTTGTAATAGAGTCTTAAAATTATACTTGGGTCCTAGGAATGACCCAATGGAATCAGCTAAAGAACTTTATGTAACTCCACTCAGTTTTCTCAATTATGCCTCAAGGCTGAATTTATAAAAAACGCTTGGTTAGAAATCACAGCCTACTTTTTTTAAAGGAAAAAAGTAATGCATATTAATCCATATTTTTAAGTAACACATATTAAGTTCTGATACATTAATTTTACTCATCTTGCTTTTATGCACCCCTCTCTCCACCTGAGAAAAAAATCTTGATGTGAAATACAAATGTTATTTACTTTTCAGAATTTTACAATTCTTGAACAGAGTTTTACAGCTTTGACTCTGTTGGTCAAGTAATACAGTCCAGCCATGGTGAGTATTCTAATCAACTGGACTGTTTTGTCCTCTGCGGTCAGTTCTGAGTGTGCAGTTTTCCAGAGGTTCAATGCCTCAGTCACTTTCTCTTCTAAAGAAAGACCCCTAATAACAGAAGTATACAGAGGAAAATTACTGTCCAACTCCAGGTAAATTAAACTACAAAGAGATAAATCTGTGAAACCACAAAATATCTAGGAAGGTGTTGAATTAAAAGAAAATGCAACACTTCTAAAGAAAAATACATTATATACTAACTTGTTGTTTTCAATAGATTTGATGGTAGAACTCTGGATCTGCAGCTTTTCACAAAAAAACTCAAAATGTTCGAAGGGGACATTGGTAGCAATTGTTTTCAATACTTTCTCAAAGATCTTTTCTAGAATAAACACATTGATTGTGTTATGGAGCTGTAGTTTAGTATATCATGCTATTGAGCTCAGTCTAAATATAATACTAAAGTTCTTTTAAGGATTGATGGTAACTTCAGCAGAAATCTTTTAGACAACTTTCTTTGGTTGAAAACTGATCTTAGTCAAGTTGTATTCTTTCATCAATGCACTAGATAGAAAAGTAGATACTATAATGCTGGTGTAACTGAAAATGTTTAGATAGTAGCTAACAATTACGGATATCACATTGTTAATAACACTCCGCTCCACTATAGACTTAGTACTGGAAGACTTCAGGTGGTCAAAGGAAACAGTATTTTGCATTTGAGGAATGTGAAGGAAGGTAATGTAAACATGGTAAGAATAGATTAATCAAAGAACAAGAGTTAGGTGCATGAAGAAAGCTTCTCAACTTTTCAAAATTCAGGTGACATGAATACATTATAGTTTTTAAAATTATGTTAGGTGGTCAATTATGTGAGATAATTAGTGATGCTGCAAAAAAAATTATTAGAAACTTACCATCTCTTTCATCAGCACTTCGTATGTAGTGTGTTATTGGAATCAGTTGTTTTCCTTTACAGACTTCTGTGGGAGGTCTGATCAAAGCATTTCCATCAAAATTTATATCCTTCAGCCCCAGGAGGAGATGCATATCACTAGGCAAATGTTGTATCTCATTTTCTGACAAAACAAAATATGTATGGTGCTTCTGTGAAAGGAATTTTTCTCAAGGAAGCAATTGAAAGACTGTATATAAGTAAAGTAATATAAAATACATTTCAAATGCAGATAACATGAAAAAATACAACATTTGAAGTGAACATTTTCTCTTTGAAGTTATTATTGTTCTTCTTTGTGGTCTCTGTAACTCATACATGATATTCTCATCACCTCTGCAAACTAACTTCATAATCTTTTAGAACTGGGTCTCTTTGTCAGGAGGTCCCCTGTACTGCATATCCTCAATACATTTCTTCATAAAACCTCCTAATTCACTTTCTCCTCAATGTAGATGCATTGGAGGGAACCTTGTACATTTGTGACTCTTTTTTTACTTGTTACTTACTTGAGGTTTCTCTGGTTTATGACACCAACAACATCCTTTTAAGATACGTGTCTCCCATGTAGAGAAGATCCATAGATGGGCAGCCATGCTAAATACCTACTTGACTTGGAGGAGGCCCACATTTATGGATAAGACCTCTCATCCGCAAGCCTTTTCCAACCAGGCCCTTCAGACCAGGGTTTAGTGTTATAAAGTCCTGCTCTGGGAATCTGCTATGAATACAGCTTTTCTCGCTATCAAAAAATGGGCACTTTTCATAGCCTCTATGGGCATTCATAGAATCATAGAATCAAAGAGTTGGAAGAGACCTCATGGGCCATCCAGTCCAACCCCCTGCCAAGAAGCAGGAATGTTGCATTCAAATCACCCCTGACAGATGGCTATCCAGCCCCTGTTTAAAAGCTTCCAAAGAAGGAGCCTCCACCACACTCCGGGGCAGAGAGTTCCACTGCTGAACGGCTCTCACAGTCAGGAAATTCTTCCTAATGTTCAGATGGAATCTCCTTTCTTGTAGTTTGAAGCCATTGTTCCGCGTCCCAGTCTCCAAGGAAGCAGAAAACACGCTTGCTCCCTCCTCCCTGTGGCTTCCTCTCACATATTTATACATGGCTATCATATCCCCTCTCAGCCTTCTCTTTGCTGCACTTGCTATCAGTTTTGCCACCTACTGTACTGTATCGACAAAGCTTTCCTCACTCATCAGGGAACTTCAGTGCTATCAGCTTTGAATTAAACCTGACTCTTTTCAAAATCACTGGTACTGTTCAAATCCATACAGGCTCCCTCTAAACTCTTTGGCGCTCCCAAAGACTTCTGGTGATTCTTTGATTTCTAAGAAGTCTGCCGATGTTTTTTTCCCCTGTGCAATCTGTCATCTTCTCAGAAAAGATCCAAGCGTGCCCATAGATCTTTGTCTTGTTGAAAAGAGTCAGATGCACTAATGGCACCTGATACTGTTGACCTGAGGATACTGCCTGTTTCAGCTCTTCCATCAGTTTCTGTTCTGGTGTACTGAAACATAGGCCAGAGGAGTTCACATGGAAACTCTAGCTATCAGTGAACATGCAGAACAGGGGATTTGTTGATTCCATAAACCAGCCTGTTTAAGAAAAGATGTGCATCTCAGCTTTCTTGAGCTATTTGGTGACATCAAGGCTTTGAATCCTTCCTCAACAAACATCAGATCCCAAAGACCATTAAACTACGGTTCTTTAAGTGGTTATCTGTGTACTCAGTCAGAAAAATCTAGCTCTAGAAGTTTCCGAAGGTAGTCTGTGCAGGTACAGAGAAACTCATGAAGGTAATTGATGACCACTTGAAGAATATGCATTACTTTGATGTCTGAATTTCCCTATGATGTTTCGCATATTACTTACCTTTGAGATTCAGGTGCTGTAAATTACGGAGTGATGAAAAACTCGATGGAAGCTTTTGAAAGCAATTGTTGTTTGCTATTAAAGTGACCAAAGTTTTGATTTCCCCTATACTTTTTGGCATTTCTTGTAATTCATTATAAGATATATCTAGTTCTTTGAGGACCAGAAATTTTGATATCTCTTCTGGAAGTGATTTTAACTGAGGATACAAAGAGCAAAATAGTTACAGCATTAAATATTTATACATGGACATTACTTATGCCAAGACCCAAAACCCAGTTAGATCTGGATCTGTAGTATATATGCACGAAGAATGGAATTTTAAGATAAACCATCTACACCACCAAGTAAGTCAATCAAACCATTGCCCAAATCATTTTGCTGCCTCAGATAATTAGAAAGTTGGTGTTCCTTCCCATTCCAGAAACAATAGCTGGCTCTATTGGTAAACAATGTTTTCTTCAAGAATGTCACTGGTATGGCAAACTTTCCATTGCCATACAAGTGACAAAGCAGCAAGTAAGCATGGACAGAGCATAGCCAGTGACGAAGGAGGGATTGCAGAAGTATCTGGCTATTGCCAGATTTTTACATCATCTGGTTTCAGCAGCTGATGTAATCACTTTACAACTGGCTACAGGGACACAGATGCTTCTACATCCTCCTGCACTTTACCAGTCAAGGGAAGGCCATCTTCCTCTAAATTCAGGCTTTGATCACTGGAGAAGGAAGAAGAGAATTCTAACCATTGCAGCAAACAAGAATAGACGTGTGCAGATATAAGGTTTACTTATGCCTGCATTAAGTAGTTGTAGAATACTATTGTTGGTTTTATTATCATAACTGCCAGGTGCACTTGTATGTGCTTTATGCTATTCTCTGATAGCATAACAGCCTGCAGGATATCTAGCATGCATAGCCTCTGCTTGAAAACCTTTTCTGGAGGTTTTTAAAGAGAGGCAGAATTGCCATCTGTCAGGAGTGCTTTGATTGTGTGCTCCTGCATGGCCGGGGTTGGGCAGGATGGTCTTTGTGTCTCTTCCAACTCTTTTATTCTAATGGGATGCTAAGACAGTGTCTCCCATCCTTCCTTGGTTGTGTACCTCTGTCCTCTATATAATCCCATATAATTTAACTGGCAGAGCATTCTACTTTATGAGCCCCAATAGACAGTTATGGTATGAATGACATGGATCAATAAATTGTAAGTAACATGTTACCTTGAGTCCATTTTTCTGGCACATTGTTAATTTTTGCAGTGATGATATTTGGCAGATTTCAACTGGAAAAGATGCAAAATTGTTGTTTGACAGATTTAATTCTTTTAGTTCTTCCAAATCCTTGATCTCTGAAGGAATGAACTGTATCTTGTTTTCAGAAAGATCAAGTATCCTAAGTTGATTTAGAGCACATAGCTCTCTGGGAAACAAAATAAATTTGTTGTGGTGTAAGAGCAGAACCCGAAGAGACTTCATTTTTTGCACGTTGGTTGGAATACTGCTTATTTGGTTGTGACTTAGGTCTAAGTAATTTAGTCTTGAAAGAGTGCACAAATGTATGGAAAAGGAAGGCAATTTGTTCTTGCTTAAATTTAAGTACTGCAAGTATTTGATGAATGAAATTTCAGTCGTTATTTCTGAAATATAATTTCCACTGAGATTTAGATGTTTAAGAGCTATCAGCGCACACAGTCCCATTGGAAACAGGGCCAACTTGTTGCAACTTAAGTCAATCTTAATGATTTCTGTACAACTTTTTATTTCAACTGGGATGTACATTAAAGCATTCTCCGACACCTCTAAGATGGTCAGCTCTTTGTTGAATGCAATGTGTTCATCTAATAAGATCAGTTGATTTCTGTTTAGGTATAGTTCCTTTAAATATTTTAGTTTATACAGATTATTGGGAAGCTTTTTAAATTGGTTGTCACTGAGATTAAGACGTTCCAGCATAGTACATTTGGAAATATTATCAGTAATGTTTTGAAATAAATTTTTGGCAAGATTGAGATCCTGAAGCTTTTGCAGGTTCTCTACTTTATCTGATAGGCTTTCTAACTTGTTACAATCTAGTCTCATTTTTTCTAGCTGTATAAGCTGAAAAAGCTGTACCGGCAGAAATATCAACCTGTTGTTGTTTAGTGAAAGTTCCTTTAATGTTTTGAGTTCTTCTATTTCTTTTGGTAGACTTTGGATCTGGTTTTCTGACAAGCTGAGCTTACTTATATTTGGAAGGTAACAGAGAGCTTTTGGGAATATTGTCATCTTATTAGCATTTAAATATAGGACATTCAGCTTTTTCATTTTGGTCAAATTCTCTATCAGAGTTACATTATTTCCACTAAGATCTAAAATTTCCAGGCTTCTCAGTGTTGTTAAAGCAGATGGAAATTTTTCAATGTTGTTATGACTGAACAGAAGATATTTAAGTTCTGAAAGTTGTGAAAATTCATCTGGGAGCCCTGATAATTGGTTACGTCGGAGGTTTAAAGTTCGAAGATTTTCAAGGAAGCCTATTTCAGGAGGTAATGATGTTAACCGATTTCCTTCTATGGATAGTATTTCTAGTTTTGTCAGCTGCTTTATCTCTTTTGGTATAATTTTGATATCATTATTGTTTAAGTACAAGTAAGTCAACATTTTCATGTCCAATACCCCTGTAGGAATTTCAGCTAGTCCTTTTGCATTTAATTGAATTGTGAAATCATCAAGCATCATTTCAGACCGCATATCTGCAGATATCTTTTGGGGTATTGTAGCACTCTCTATAGAATGTAGTAAGTTTTTTCTAGCTTGCCCTTCCAAAAATTCAGAAGGAAGATCAGTGTATCCTTCAGCATACAGGTAAGCAATTATTTCTGTATCTTTGGCTTCAGAAATCACTATTTCTGATATCTTCTTAATGCTTTCTAGTTTCTCTGCAGAACGTAAGGCTTCCTTTTCTAGATCTCTTTCAGAAGTCCCCAAAAAGCTTTCTGACAGCTTTTCCTGAGATGCATCAGACTTTTCTTTATGCAAACTGGTTGTTGATGAAATCTCGGTCATGTCAGTAGGTAATTGTGATTGCTCCATATCTGATGTTGCGTTTGGCTCAGGAATTTCTGAACCTGGTTCAGGAACACTTTCAATCCCAGTAGAAATAACACTTGATTGAGTTTCACTCTGATTTCCATCATGTAATGAACTTGAAGATTTTGCAGGTGCATCAAGTTTTTCGACAGATGGTATTCTGCCATTTACAGGAACATCTGGAGAGGCTTCAATAATTCCTTCTGAATTTATATCAGTGGTCTGTTCTTCTTCTTTTTCACCAGACATTTCCAAAATAAAATTTCAATCATAAGCTTGTTCTAATTTTTGATAAGTAAAAAAATGGAAGAAACCAAATCAAGCATATGAAACAGACTGCAATGTGACAATTATAAAGAAACTGACATCAAATACAGTTAGTGAATTGGTAATGCAAAAGATAAATATTTACAGTCCAAAGCTGCTGAGATTATGTTTCAAAAATAACAAACACAGTACATGTTTGGGAGGCTATAATGCGAATATTTTTTATGTCTTGTCTATTATTTCTTTGTATTATTAACAATATTGTTTCAACACCTTGTTTGTAAGCCTAGATTCTGCAGCAAGATACCTGCCTAGAAAATGTAACAACAGCACAGACTTTTGCACAGATGTACAATGTCTGGCAAGGCCTATGCCTTAGAAATGGCATTTAGGATTTCAGCCTTACAATACAATTTTACATTCATTACTATATGAGTTGGATGGTGCCTACTCACATAAATGTAGGATTGTAGTTTTAGAGTTCTTGCTCTGTGAGAATCGTTATTTTAAATTGTTGTATAAAAAGCTTATTATAACACTCCTCTCAAATTAATCTCGCTTAACAGAATTCCCAACTGCCACTACAATTCAAGTACAGGTTCCATTCCAGAGCAGTTTTGAATGGCCCATTTCACTCCTCACATCAAGTAACTAGGAATTTTACTTCTGCTTAGATCAGTGGTTCTCAACTTTCCTAATGCCCGCAACCCCTTAATACAGTTCCTCATGTTGTGGTGACCCCCAACCATAATATTATTTTCTTTGCTACTTCATAACTGTAATTTTGCTACTGTTATGAAACATCATGTAAATATCTGATATGCAGGATGTATTTTCATTCACTGGACCAAATTTGACACAAATATCCGATACACCCAAATTTGGATATTGGTGGGGTGGGGGGCAAAGACTGATTTTGTCATTTGGGAGTTGTAGTTACTGGGATTTATAGTTCACCTACAAAGAGCATTCTGAACTCCACCAACGATGGAATTAAACCAAACTTGTCACACAGAACTCCCATGACCAACAGAAAATACTGGAAGGGTCTGGTGGGCACTGAACTTGAGTTTGGGAGTTGTAGTTCACTTACATCCAGAGAGCACTATGGACTCCAACAATGTTGGATCTGGACCAAACTTGGCACAAATACTGAATATGCTGAAATGGTGGAATGTGGGAAAAACAGACCTTGACATTTGGGAGTTGTAATCGCTGGGATTGATAGTTCACCTACAATCAAATAGCATTTTGAACCCCACCAACAATAGAATTGGGCCAAATTTCCCACACAGAACCTCTATGACCAACAGAAAATACTGTGTTTTCTGATGGTCTTTGGTGACCCCTGACACTCCCTTACAACCCCTGGCCAGGGGTCCTGGCCCCAGCTTGAGAACCACTGACTTAGATGTATGACAGATATTTTGATTACACTCGCTCAGTTTGTGAGTTTGCCCTGCAGGATTCTTTTTGGCAGTTATTACTCATTTGTTTTGCATTAGAGTGATAGTTATCTTGATAGACAACATTTCTTTTGATGCAGTCACCGGAAATGCCATTATCAGTTGGTACAATCATCTGAGATATGAACAGATTTGTTGTAATTCCATGTTGCTGTTCTGTTTTTCTCTTTGTCTGAGTGCCTGGCTTGTTGGGAAACAATTACACAGTTGCAGAATTAATGAGAAACTGTGGTTATCTGTTGCTTATTCATTTTATCTTTTGCACAAATTAATAAGGTGATGACTATTTTCGTAGTCATATAATCAAGGAAAATATTTTTCTTCATCTTTACTGCATATGACAGTAGTGGCATGCATGTCCAGTCATGAAGACTTGGCAGTTTGGAAATGGAAGGTTTCTCCATACTTGTCTGGGATGGCGCCACGATAGTTTTAACATATTTATTTATTTACTTTGCTTATATACCGCTGTATCTCAAGCCCGAAGGCGACTCACGGCGGTTCACAAACAGTAAAAACAGTAGAAACAGCAGTGGTTCCATACAACATATAACAATTGACTTAACACATTATCCATAAATTACCAATAAGCAGTTACAATGCACAATTATTACAAAAAACAACCGTACCCAATCTTCTCATCATCCAAGCGTAGTCCAGGTTCGTCGTCCCTTGTTCCATTCCTATGTTCCATTACCAGATTGCACTAAATTACTCAAACGCCTGCACAAACATCCAGGTCTTCACCTTTTTGCGGAATACCATTAGAGATGGTGCTAGTCTAATGTCCGTAGGAAGGGCGTTCCACAGCCGAGGAGCCACCACCGAGAAGGCCCTATCTCTCGGCCCCGCCAGCCGAGCTTGAGAAGCAGGCGGGATCGAGAGCAGGGTCTCCCTGGAAGATCTCAAAGTCCTGGTGGGTTCATAGGCAGAGATGTGGTCGGATAGGTAGCTTGGGCCCGAACGTTTAGGGCTTTAAAGGCCAACGCCAGCACTTTGAATTCAGCCCGGTAGCAGATCGGTAGCCAGTGGAGTTGGCGCAACAGGGGGGTTGTATGCTCCCTGCGCTCCGCTTCTGTTAAAATCATGGCTGCCGAGCGTTGGACTAGTTGGAGCTTCCGAGCTGTCTTCAAAGGCAACCCCACGTAGAGAGCGTTGCAGTAGTCTAAACGGGATGTAACCAGAGCGTGGACTACCGTGGCCAAGTCAGACTTCCCAAGGTACGGGCGCAGCTGGCGCACAAGCTTTAGCTGTGCAAATGCTCCCCTGGTCACCGCCGAAACCTGGGGTTCCAGGCTCAGCGATGAGTCCAGGGTCACACCCAAGCTGCGAACCTGCGTCTTCAGGGGGAGTGCGGCCCCATCCAACACAGGCTGTAACCCTATGCCCTGTTAGGCCTTGCGACTGACCAGGAGTACCTCTGTCTTGTCTGGATTCAATTTCAATTTGTTCGCCCTCATCCAGACCGTCACAGCGGCCAAGCACCGGTTCAGGACCTGGACAGCCTCCTTAGTAGCAGGTGGAAAGGAGTGACAGAGTTGGACATCATCCGCGTACAGATGACACCGTACCCCGAAACTCCGGATGATCTCCCCCAGCGGCTTCATGTAGATGTTAAACAACATGGGAGACAATATTGAGCCCTGAGGAACCCCACAAGACAATGGTTGTGGGGTTGAACACGTGTCCCCCAACAACACCTTCTGAGATCGACCCTCCAGGAATGACCGGAGCCACTGCAAAACAGTACCTCCAAGACCCATCCCTGCGAGGCGTCCCAGAAGGATACCGTGGTCGACGGTATCGAAGGCCGCTGAGAGGTCCAGCAGCACCAACAGGGACACACTCCCCCTGTCGAGCTCCCGGCGCAGATCATCCACTAAGGCGACCAAGGCTGTCTCGGTACCATGTCCCGGCCTAAAGCCAGACTGTGCCGGGTCTAGATAATCCGTGTCTACCAAGAATACCTGGAGTTGTGAGGCCACCACACGTTCCAAGACTTTGCCCAAGAAGGGGAGATTGTACTGGTTGTTTATATCCAGTACATGCTGCTACAAAAGAAATATTGAGTATATGAGCATTGCACTGTAATTATTCATTGCTCTTTAAGTATTTAGATGTTTACTATCTAAATGTGTATTATGGAATTTTAATATTTTTAATTATTTTTGGGTAACAACCATATTTAACTTTAAGTTTTTAGTGATGTTATCTATTTGCTTTTTGATTTGTTTTGTTCAGAATGGCATTGAATGTTGGCCACTTTTGTTTTGGAAACTTCTCTGAGTCCCTCTGTGGCGACGGGGAGGGTTACAAATAATAACAATTATTATTATGAGTACAAAAACAGTTTGCTAACATCCTAACAGGCTTTCCGGTTATTTACCAGCTCTCTGGAGCTCCCGGTGGCACAATGGGTTAAATCCTAATGCTGGCAGGACTGCTGACCAACTGGTCAAGGCTTCAAATCCAGGAAGAGCAGGTTGAGCTCCCTCTGTCAGTTCCAGCTCCCCATGTGGAAACATGAGAGAAGCTGCCCACAAGGATGGCAAAACATCAAAACATCCAGGTGTCCCCTGGGCAATGGCCTTGCAGACGGCCAATTCTCTCACACCAGAAGCAACTTGCAGTTTCTCAAGTCACTCCTGACACAAAAAAAAACTCTCTCATCAGTTTATGCTAAAGCTGTAGAAATAATGGGGAAGTGTCCAGAGGAGTTCAAACATACAATCTTGATTAAAATGTATTGTGTATTCCACAATAACAATAGCGATTTTATTTTTTTGGTTTATTGAATTTATATTCTGCTGTTATGCACTTTTATGCATCAGTAGTAAGGATTTTCACTACACTTGTGTAAAGGAGGGAAAATTATGCAGGCGATCATGAATGAAGAAAGTGGAAAATTAGGCTGCTCGGAGTTGGCAGTTTTTAATCTTCCATCCATCACTACTGTTGTATAAACCTGGAAAAAGTGCAGCCACTAGCATGGTATACCTTTGACTTTTAGCCAGGGTGGGCAATGTGGAAGACTGGGGAGGGGGTGTATCAATCCTCCATGTGAATTAAGAGGGCTGCCCCTATTCCTGAAAATCAAACTTTTTTTTAACCCTTAAGCGTTCTCTTTGAGGCAGAGCATTCTTCCACACAGCCCTTTATCCCAGGATATCAAGGCAGAAAATCCCACAATATCTGCTTTGAACTGGGTTATCTGAGTCCACGCTCAGATAATGTGGGATTTTCTGCCTTGATATTCTGGGATATAGGGCTGTAGAAGGGCCCCGAGAGGCATGTTTCTGAGCTTTTCTGGATCCTGAGAGGGCATTTGGGACATTTTGAGGCAAATAATTTTGGAGGGAAACAATTGCAAATTTTAATTTTTATCCTAGGGATTTAGGGGGACTCCAAATGTGTAGAAATGCCTCCACATCCCCTGGAGATCATGCTTTAGTATGTTAAAAGTTAGCTATTTTCTCAATATACACCGTATATGTCTAGCAGTTATGCACCATATTT